TCTTCAAAAAAATCAATCTTTTTTCTTCGTCAAGAGAACAAAAAATCCATGCGTTCAAGGTTTTTTAAGTCTTCAAATTTCGATGTTGTCTTTTTGTTTGCTTCGTGTCTTAATGGCATTTTGTTGATTTGTTCTTCGTTTGTTTTTCATGCAAGTTAGGTTTACGGGAGTTACATATCTGTAACGATCGTCAAATCTTGAACCGCCGAAAAAGGTTGTCTCCGGTGTGTGGAATACACACTAACCGGAAACAATACCTTCATTTATTGATCAATGGCGACGACGATGAAGGGCCTTCTTAAAGGCCTTCGTTACATTACTCAGATTTTCGGTGAGTCCCATCGAACATGAACCTCTGTTGTTTATTTCTTGTGTCACAAATCGATATTACATCTCTATGGCAGACGAAGAGAAAGAGCAGGAGATGCAGATCGGATTTCCGACCGATGTTAAACATGTTGCTCACATTGGCTCCGATGGTCCAGCCACCAATACACCTAGCTGGGTACGATCATACGTTTTCACGAAATTATGTATACATTTCTATACGTATTTGTGCTCATTATCATTTTTCGTTTGGGGTAAAAACCGCAGATGAATGATTTCAAACCTAAAGAAAATGAGAAAGGTCAAGTTGTTTCCAGAGGAAATTCCAACAAATACAATCCTCCAGGTTTGTTAATTTTTCTGTGAAAGTTTCGTTTGTTTACCTTAAAAGTGTTAGGCATGGACGGAAAAGTCTGGATTGGTTCGAGGAATTGATGGTTATCTCAACAGGGATGAACCAACGCAGAGCAGGACTAAAAGAATTACTTCCTACAGTGGAGAAACCGAAACAGAAAACAAGACGGAAACACAGTGGAGGGTCTTCCCCAAATCCAAATGGGTCTCCGTCCAGAAGAAGCAGCGGAAATACTGTATCATCGGATGAACCAACGAAGCATTCAAGGCATAGCCGAAGCCCACACGGGTCGATGGACTCGACAAATGATCAAGACCCTTCAGTCCGTAGAAGGCGTTCGGTTCCAAACACGGAAGCTGCTAATCATCTTCCTGATGGTTCAGCTCCTCCACGGAAGGCAACATCGCGTCCGAGGAAACTAAAAGGATCAGTAGGGGGAGAAGCATCAATGAAGAAATCACCGAAAGGAAAACACGAGACTTCAGCTGATACATGTAACGATATTATCTGAGAAAACATAAACGAAAACATGAAATGTAATTTTTTGGGCCACCTGCGTGTGAGAGTTTGTTTTCGTTTACTCTTAAAAGTCTTTTCTCAACAGCTCAGGAAGGAAAACAAAACAAAGAAAAATTGGCTCACAAGAATCTCTGAATTCAACTCAGAAATTCCAATTGATACTTACCGAAACTAGAAGGAAATTGTATGAGTGTGGAAAGAAGCAGAGCAAGAAATGTACATAAAGCTTTGATTATCACATCTAACCATATTTTCTATTTCTTGCGAAGATCAATGCCGGCTTTCTTGGCAACAGCGTCGAGTCCATTTTTCTCAATGGTCTTCAAGGCTTTAGTTGATAAACGGAGTTTGACGAAACGTTTCCCAGCTTCCCACCAAACTTTCTTGTACTGTAAGTTGACGAATTGCAACTTCTTGGTCTTGTGGTTAGAGAATGAAACTTTGTTCGCTCTGTTTGCTTTCTTCCCAGTAAAAGGACAGATTCTCCCTGAAAACCAAAAACAAAAACAGTTTCAAGAAATGAGCAAATGTTACAAAATCAGAGCTATAATACAAGAGAATATCATGTTCAAAGTTTTGCAGATTATCGTTTGCAAAATCATCATTTTCATAAACTCCTTTCTGCTGCACTTTCAAAACCATCCAAATTTGTACACTTTTGGGGGGGCCAATTGACACAGATTAGCATTCAAAATCTGATACAAGAAATTATGCACACGACACTTGAACACAGTGCTTAATTTTGATTCCCCAACACCAGACAAATCCAACACAAAGCTACTCACAAATTTCGAGATTCGAAAGAAGACAAGATAAATTCGGACAGAGTAAAGGAAAAATAGGGAAATTACGTGCGACGATGGGCTGAAGACCGGGGAATGAAGGAACGGAGATAGGACTGATGACGTCACTGGGACCATGAGAGATTCTTATGCCGCTGAGCTGGGAGGTGAGAAATCCAAGCTCCGATGAAGTCACGGTGGACTTAAGGACGGACTTCGCCGAAGAAGAAGATGATACTGCAGCCATTCGTAGCCAAGCCCCTTGCGTCGCCATTGTCGTCATTTTTTTTGGTTCTGCTTCGACTCACACAAGCGAAAGAGGAGGATTTGGATAATGATGAAGATTGGGTTTCATTTTATTTATTTGTACAAAATGAAAACCCTCTAGCTCATCTAGAAGTTTACGTTCTCTTAAACCGGTTTGTATTTATAACCAAAAGCATTTGTAATTCAATTCCGGTTCAGTCAAAACCAAAACAGAGCCAAGCTTAACCAAAACAAAAATAACGTTTGCATGTGGGATTTTCAGTTATTAGATTCTCGAAAGACACAGGTGATGATGAAAAACCAACTTGATCAAATCCCAACGATTACAACGAGA